ACTCGACGACGTCTCGCTATCCGTCTTCGGATCTTGCGCCGATTTAGCTTTCGACGCGTCTTGATTCGAGTTTGCTTGCGTCTTGTTAGTCGCGGAGCTCTGAGCCTTCAAAGTAGAAAGCAATTTGGATACTTCGGCACACAAAATCAAATTAACCTCAAAACACTATGTTTACGAAACTGAGACAATTCACACTAATAATTATATACGGTCACTGTCAGTTCGTAATTTCATTACGTTAATTGATACTTAAATAATGAAAATACTTACGTGTTAATCAATATAAATCCGTTCTTTGTTCTTGATCACTTTTCTAAAAGGACCGACTACAAATGAGAATGTATGTGCCTATGCCCGTGGCTATGCATTATGTATTTTTATGTAGATTGAAAATCCTGGGGATCGATCATGTATCTTTTCCCCTAGGACGGAACGTGAAAAGTGAAAAGTTTATCTCTTTCTATTCAATACCAATAGAAAGAAATAGTTACATGAAATTTTTCACTTTTCACGTTTCCGCTCTAGGGAAAAAGTTACATGATCGCTACCCAGGAGCCATGGGCAGAATACAGAAACCATAGCGCATGCGCTATGATATCTGCCATTCTGCCATAGGCAGATAAAGTAATACCACAGCGCATGCGCTATGGCTTCTGCATTCTGCCTATGGCTCCTGGCCTGCGTTCAGAAACTTTTACCCAGGTAGAGTAGGAGTAGAGTTAGAGTTGACTTCGGATTACTGTCGTTTATGGACGACGAAAGTAAAGGTGGAAGCACATAAAATTGCAGGAGCCATAAGCAGAATGCAGAAGCCATATGCGCATGCGATATGGTATCTGTTAGAGCTTTACGGATACCATAGCGCATGCGCATATGGCTTCTGCTTTCTGCTCATGGCTCCTGCAATTTTATGTGCTTCCACCTTAACATCACGGGTTAACATGGCGCTCTCCCATCAAGCATTGAATATGAGTGAAAATATGGCAGCGCATCAGGAAAATAGTGTCCGTATCCCTTTTTGTTCGCCGGTTCTTGTGAATAACTTTAACCTAAAAAAGGCGTGTTTCGAGAACATGCGTTATGTGCCCCTTATGTGACGGAATCTATATATGTGCGCATGTCGAGTAATTTCTACCATGGTGTAAGAATTACATGGTGTGCTCAATTGCCTGGGGGGATTCGGGTAATGACGTCACTCGTGTCGAATTGTGTAAACAGAGTAGCCAACGTCTAGAAGTAAAACATTTTTGGTGTTGTAATATTGGCACATGTTCATGCATCGTCACACTCATGCCGCTTATGCCACTCAGAAGTACGGTACATTGTTTTGTGTTAAACAGTGGGTCTGTTTGCGTTGCGACAATATATAAATTTAAAATAAAAATGGTGCGGTGTATTGTTAAAAGTTGTAGAAATAAAACAACGGGGGTTCGTGAGGAAACTGTCAATTTTTTTCAGCTACCAAAAAATGAAGTGATGCGGGAAGGATGGCTGAAAAAAATAGGAGGCTATGTTTTACCACCAAAAGTTGAATTTGGTAAGTTTGATATTGTACATAAACGTGCAAAAGTATATTAATTGAAAAATAAAAATGAATAAAAAATAATATTTTTTAGTTACTAACATAACCTCAAATTTTGTATTTACAAATGGAGTAAAAATGTCATGAAATGTTATTAATATGAACAGAAAATAATAAAAACAAATTAGCACTTTGTTCATGTATATAAGTAAAAATATTTTACAATTCAAAATATGAAAATCTTTAATTTGAAATAAAAATTATAAAGCCATATTTAATACAATGTATTAAGTTTTATTATTTATACATTATATTATTTTCAGCAAGGATATGCTCGGTTCATTTTAGTCAAGAGTCCTTTCATCAAGGTCGAGCACGGAAAGACCCTGTTAAGAAACGTCACCTACTACCATCGGCTGTGCCAACGTTATTTTTGAATTGTTCAGAAGCTCCAAATGTAAACAAGTAAGTATATAAAAACACATACACATTTGTATTTGTAATGTGGTGTTATGTAATTATATAAATGTACTTTTTCACAAGGAATGCGGTGGCTGAGTACAAAGATTCCTTACCTGATGAAGTTTTATTGTGTCTGGTGAGAACACGTACGTACATACGAATAAAAGAAAATGCCAAAAAATCGTATGTAAACAGAGAGAGAAGAAAGAAGGAGAAGAAAATGAAGAAACTAGTGTCGTAAATTAAACTAATGTTGTCATTGCACGAGTATAATGTATATGTAATGTATAATGTAATGTGTATAATGTAATGTATATAAAATCATACTCTTTCTGCAAATCTATATATATATATATATATATACATACAACGGAATAATATTTAATTAATAGCAAGTTTGTTTGTGTCTAAAATGTACTTACCTGCGTACTCTAACATCACTGAAAGAATGTGTCAAAATTATATTTATATAAATATAATATTAAATTTCTTGTTATTAAACATTTTCAACTACCTTTTTTCAGAAGAAAAGTCCAATTACAAATAAAAGTTGTTATACTAATTATTTTTGCTTCTTTGCATTTCTTTTCACAAACATTAATCACTTCTCTCTCTTCAAAAATATCAGTAATAATATTTTAAATGTAAAAGGTGTGACAAATTTTTTTTCAAAGATCTGATTTTCGTGTATCGACTTTCCTTTTAAGCGGTTTATTAATGTACCACCTTGTGTTGTAAACAAATTAATTTTAAATAGGTACAATTATTGAAACAGAAATTAGAAATGTAATCAAGAATAATGAATAAAAAAAATACATGAAATTGGAATAATTAATAAATTATATTAAATTTCAATAATTTAATTTTTCGTTGATTATGTATACCTATAATTAGTTATATTATACTTCGCCAATACATATTTTTAAACGCCAATTTCATATAAAATTAATAATTGTTATGTTACTTTTACGGGCAACAAATAATTAATAAAAAAAAAAAACAATTGATTCGAACGTATGACCCCTGCATTCAAAAGTTATCGCCACATCCTTTGAGCCAGTAAGATACTAGAGTGCTTTTATACTTAATATATACATTATCATCGGACAAAAGGTTAGGCTTTATTCATGCCATTAATCAATGACAATAATTCTGTCTTTTTGCATTAATTCATTCAAAACCAGCAAAGGAAAAAATAGAAGCATTAAAACATTCGAAAAAAGGAAGTATTGCAATTTTAATATACTATTACATTCTTTGTACATGAGGCTTTACAAGTATTATTTTTTTAAATTTTCTTTAATACTTTTCCATTTGTTGAGAAATCATTGAAGCCCTAAACAATAATACTTTTCAAGAATTTCTAATAAATACAACGTATCTTCAAATATCATTCATCGTTGCAATACATTTTCAGGAGGCAGTTTGCAACATAATCCGTTCAAATTTCCTATTTCCTAGTTACTTTTAGTGGTGGTACCACTGCTTACACAATTCGACGTGAGCGGCAGAGAGAGAAACGATTTTAGAGAAAGAAAGACACCAATTGAGCACACCATGTAATCCTTACACCATGATTTCTACCTACCTCCTCGACGTGGGTAGAAATAGTTAACTCGAGAGTTGACTCAAGCGTGTTTCTGAACGCCACAAATAGGTCAACTCGGCATTTCTGAACGCCTCGAGTTAACTAGAGTTAACTCGAGTAAGGTTTCAGAACGCAGGCCTGTAATTTTATGTGCTTCCACCTTAACAGATACCACAGCGCATGCGCATATGGCTTCTGCATTCTGGTTATGGCTCCTGCAATTTTATGTGCTTCCACCTTAAAGGTGGAAGCACATAAAATTGCAGGAGCCATGAGCAGAATGCAGAAGCCATATGCGCATGCGCGATGGTATCTGTTAGAGCTCTTCAGATACCATAGCGCATGCGCATATGGCTTCTGCTTTCTGCTCTTGGCTCCTGCAATTTTATGTGCTTCCACCTTTATTCCGTTTTAATTCCATTCCGTTATTTCTCTCTCCATGGGGATGCAGCCTGAAAGCTGATATTTCATTTGTCGTACGACGAGCTCTGTCAGGCGTACATACATACCTATTGGCTATAAAATAGAGGATTTCTAGAAACTCGAGAACTCTCTATCCTGTAGCCAATTAATATTAATATGCTTAAAAAATTTCTCATAAGATATGTACATGAAATATCAGCTTGAGACGTGCCCCCGGCACACCCGCTCGACTGGGCGTGTTTACTCTTTACTTCGATAGTTCGTTCGATGCGATTGAAGGATCCGCACGAGGTAAGAAGATTCAAAAATCAATTCTACCAACAAATCGCTATATTAAAGTTCGCGTGTACGTGTATATAGTAAGGAACTTTTCTAATCTGTAAAGAAATATTGTAACGCAGATTTTTTTTACACGGACGAGTACCCGGAAGAAACACGGTGAGAGAAGGAAGGCAAGAATACATGGCGCACATTAAAGTGTTCAAAAAGTGCCTTTAACGGCGATATCGTAACGCGAATTGGTTTGAGCAAGAAAAAAAGAAAATTCGTATTTGTTGGAGATGCCTACTATTTGCCAAGCGATGACGCCGATCGTTATTGCCTGCTGGTTCTACTGCCTGTTGGGCGTTGTCGGTCAGTATGAGTGGCAGACCCGCGATTCCTTTGACGAGATCCGCATGCGGATGGACAAGGTAAACGATGACAACTGCCTGATACAGCACCTCGGCGACCTGTACCTGCCAGAAGACGCAGTGTCGCATTTGCCTGACATAAAAGACATCAATATCAATCCAGTGTTCCCGAATCGTACAGCTTTGCTGCATCTTCACAACATGGCACTCAGTAGGAGCTTCTTCTGGAGTTACATTCTGCAGTCGCGCTTCATCCGACCAGCAATCAATGATACCTATGATCCAGGCATGATGTATTACTTCTTGTCCACAGTGGCAGACGTTTCCTCCAACCCATATATTAATGCCTCGGCCATCTATTTCGCACCCAATATGTCTTACTCGCCATCCTACAGGGGTTTCTTCAATAAGACCTTTCCCAGATTTGCGCCACGGACCTTCAGGGCAGATGATTTCAATGATCCTATACACCTAGAGAGAATATCTACCAGAAACACATTTACTGTGCAGGATTTAGGAGCGTTTCCCAGTAACAGGCTCAGCGACGATTATACCACTGACTTTTATCGTATAAACGAATGGTATGGGAAAACTATAATTAACGATTGATGAAAACTATGGCATCTAACAAAATAAACTATTTCATGTATAACGTTTCACAAATTTTTATATCTGAATTAAATTTTGTCGATTAATTGACACAAAATCATACATTTTTATTTATTCTATGAATTTATTTGCTTACAGGTACAAAAAATGGTTACCAGATATCGTAAAGGAAAGACACGACACTAAAACGACATATCAAGTTGAAATTCGCTATGCCAACAATACAAATGAAACATTTACCTTTCATGGTCCACGTGGTAATGAACTATGAAAGCTATAGAAACTATAAAAACTATCCTAAAATGTGCTTATATTTATTTTTATCATGATTTTATCACGCAGGTGCCGATGAGTATCCTGGACCTGTGCAATGGACTAGACCATATTTCGATTGTGGCCGATCAAATCGATGGCTCGTAGCTGCGGTATCACCTATAGCAGATATCTATCCACGACACACTGGCTTCAGGCATATCGAATATCCAACATATACTGCCGTTTCGGTAATGGAAATGGACTTTGAAAGAATAGATATAAATCAATGTCCCAAAGGTAAAGGGAACCTTGGTCCTAATAGATTCGCTAATACTGCAAGATGCAAGACTGATACTACAGAGGTATATGTTTAAAATTCTATCAAGTTACGTTTATTAACTGATAATTAACTAATATACGCGTGTCTGGTCTACAGTGCGAACCGATACATGGTTGGGGTTTCAGAAGAGGTGGATATCAATGTAGATGTAGACCAGGTTTCAGATTACCGACTGTCGTACGACGACCTTATCTTGGTGAAATAGTGGAGAGAGCCACGCAAGAACAATACTATAATGGTTTCGATTGCTTGCGGATCGGCTGTATGTATTTTTTTTCTTGATTGCGGTATCGCCTAGCGCAGAGCCTCTTTAACAAAGATTTTATTCTGCAGGGGTTCATAAAATGCCAGTGCAATGGGAAAAAGCAAACTCATATCTCAGAGAAAAGTATCTCGAGCAATTCCATCATTATAGGAATTATTCAACCGGTTCAACTGCACTTCACGATACAAAGCTGAACATCGACCAAGCTCTCAAATTCATTCTTGGTATGAATTCGGAAACTTGCAAGAAGTACGTTCTATTACAATTGTACACTTCCTGTTATTGATGTATTCGAATTTAAGCAATTTCCAAATTGTATTATTAGTTATGCGCCACAAGACTTAATGTTACGCGGAGACATTAGCTTCGGTGCGGAAGAGTTTTTCGAGAACGAAGCGAAAATGGCGACTAGATTGGCAAACTTCATCAGTGCGTTCCTACAAGTATCAGATCCCTTGGAAGTTTACTCGGGCAAGAGAGTAGCCGACAGACCGCTCACGGAAGATCAAATGATGGGGGAGACCCTGGCTTTGGTGCTCGGCGATACAAAGATATGGTCAGCTGGCACTTTTTGGGATCGTAATAAATTTACCAACAGAACATTCTTTGCCCCATATGCTTACAAGACGCAGTTAAATACACGCAACTTTAAACTTGAAGATTTAGCTAGACTCAATGGCACAGGTAAATTAGTTATGTAACAAGCAAAAATATAACTTGGAATTGAAATGTATATTTTTATTCACAACTTCTTTTAATAGATCTAGATATATTCTATTAGTAAGTAAGTCATTTATAATCGTACAAATTTTTAAACATTAATTTAGATTTTTTATTACGTTTGCCAGTTCGTTCTAATACAATTTATAATTACAGATGAAGTATATACAAAGAAGAGTTACTTCCAAGTATTAAAGCAACGTTGGGCAACGAATTTTGATCAACTGGAGAAATATTATATGAAAATAAAGATTCGATTCAATGAAACTGGAGAGCACCTAAAAAAGTTTGAGCATTACCCAAACTATTACAGGTAAGGGAGAACGCGCGTATTGCGTTATATATTTGTTAGTGCAAAACTCGCATGATGATTCTATTTTTTCGATATGCTCCGAAGCGATGATAAAAGTACGGTGAAGCATTAAAGTATAAAAAGATTACGTTCCCGAAAGCTTGGGGAAGAATCCGATATCAAAAGTACGATTTATTCTAATGTATGGGAACGCGGCGAATGGGCCGTCTGTGTAGGGCAGCAAATCTGGACCATGGACACTGGACAACTCCGTACTTCGATTGTAACGGCAAGATGAAGAAGTGGGTAATTACCTATGCATCCCCGTTTTTTGGATGGGACAGCTTGAAGGAGAAACTGGAATTCAAGTGAGTGTTCTCATCAGAGTGTGATCACATGCGATAGGAAAAAGGAACGCGTCTCTGTACGTGCATACACACACACACACACATTAGGATGGTCGTTAAAAAATAGATTTTTGTTGCCGCTCCCTAAAATGGTAGTAATTGATGAAAAAATAAAATCTATGCAACCCTAAGGCTGTCAAGTCACGGAAAAGGGTGCCTCTCGAAGAAAGAAGTCTTAGAATTCGCGTTTTTTCATTTAATTTTTGCTGTATAAATTAGACCCTGATTTACATCAATTTATTATCTTTAATAAATTTTCCTATTCGGTGAACACATCAATGCAAAGCAAGGTCCAATTATATCTGTATAAGCGATTTAAAAATTTTCTCTGTGTAATGCTACAAAAAAAAAACGATTGCATTGAATTTTTTTGTCAATTATCTGGAGTATATTTTTATTCAATATAAAAAAGATTACTATTTCAACGATATTAAGGGGATGCTGGAGCCGTCTGTTTTACCGGCATTTTTTGTTGTCACGTAGCGTTGTATTAATTTGACAGAATTAAAAATCCTCCAGAATTGCAGTACATACATTAATGATTCGGGGGAACTCCGATTTTATATAGAAAATGAGAAAAAATTACGGAAGTACAGATTTCCTTATTCTACTTTTATCCCAATATGGCGTCTCGAGTTGCGGCGAGCTTTCAGATCGTCACAAGATGTATTTCATATATACATATAAGAGATATACCATTGGTACAAACGCGAAAACAAGTTCCCCCGAATTGCACAACAAGAAAAACATCGATAAACCCTCCAAATCAAGTAATTAATATAAAAGTATAATGTCGATGTGCATCGTGCGTATGTGTGCGTGCAATGTAGCGTGCTATCCTTGTCTATATCTTTGTCTATACAAGGACAGATATAGTCGATAACATAGAAAATGGTAATTTTGTCGGTTATAC